ATTGTTGTTATTACTATTACTATTACTATTACTATTACTACTACTACTACTATTGTTCTTGTTAGTGTTATTATTATTATTATTGATATTGTTATTATTTTTACTATGTTTTTTATATTGGTATTGGTACCATTATTTGATATTTGATTATATTTACTTTATTACTAATTGTGTTGATATTTTTATTATTATCAATGTTATTATTATTATTATTGTTGTTATTTCTTCTATTTTTATGTCTAATACAATTTTTGTTTACTATTATCATTATTACTATTACTGCTATTATTACTATTTTATTCATTCACCACCACCACCTCAACCACTACTGCTATTAACAACTACTACAACTACAACTACAGCTATTACTACTAATAATACAACATCTACTACTAATCTTGCTCTTAGTATTAGTGCTAACACTTGCTGCTATTATTATTATTATTATTATTATTATTAAATATATTTTTCATTTACTCTTCCCATTACTGATGCCATTACCATCAAATTCTTTTTATTGCTACTACTATTGTTACTCCTCCTCCTCTTCCTCATACTACTATTACTTTTACTGCTCTTAGTGTTACTGTTACTCTTATTAATAACTTTATTATGGTTTACTATTGTTATTGTTATTGTTGATTTTTGTATTGATTATGGATTATAATGTTCATAATTTGGTACTGATATGATCTGAATAATTTATTATTATTGTTATTATTATTATTATTATTATCATCATTGTTATTGTTATTGTTATTTGTTGTTGTTGTTGTTGTTGTTGTTGTTGTTGTTGTTGTTGTTGTTGTTGTTGTTGTTATTATTATTATTATTATTATTATTGTTATTATTATTATTATTATTATTATTATTATTATTATTATTATTATTATTATTATTGTTATTTTTTTATTTTTTTATTATTATTACAATTACTGTTACTATTACTATTGTTAATACCATCATTTTTATTAGTAGTAATAATAATAGTATTAATGCCATTATTATTTTTGTTAGTTTTTATCATCATCATCATTATTGTTGTTTTTGTTATTGTTAATATTATTATAAATTGTTGTTATTATTATCTCTGCACTATCGTTATTATTGTTATTATTATTATTGTTGTTATGAACATCATCATCATCATCATTATCATTGTTGTTGTTATAATTGCTGTTATTATTATTATTATTATTATTATTATTATTATTATTATTATTATTATTATTATTATTATTATTATTATTATTATTATTATTATTGTTATTGTTATTGTTATTGTTATTGTATTGTTATTATTAATATTGTGAGTATTGTATATTATTATTATTATTTATTATTATTATTATTATTATTATTATTATTATTATTATTATTATTATTATTATTATTATTATTATTGTTATTGTTATTGTTATTGTTATTGTTATTGTTATTGTTATTATTATTATAATTATTATTTTATTTTTATTTTATTTTTTATTTTATTATTATTATTATTGTAATTGTTATTGTTATTATCATTATTATTGTGAGTATTAACTATTATTATTATTATTATTATTATTATTATTATTATTATTATTATTATTATTATTATTATTATTATTATTACTGTATTGTTTTTTGTTATTAATTATATTCATCATCATCATCCTATCATGATTATCCTTGTTATCATTACTGTTACTTTTAATTTCACAAAGTTGATACTGCTAAGGCTTCTGCTTCTGTTGCTGTTTGTTGTTGCTTTTATTATGATTATTTTTTACTATGATTTCTATATTATGGCCATTGTCATGACACATATTATTAAAATTTTTGGTATTATTATTTATATTATTCTTTTTATTATTTTTTTATTGGTATTATCATCATTATTGTTATTGTTTTTATTTTTATCATCATTATCATCATTATCAGTATTACTAATTTAATAGTGTTATTGTTTATATTATTGGCATAGTTATTACTATCATTATCATCATCATTATCATGAGTATTGTTATTTTTTATTAACAGCATTATTGTTATTGTTGTTGCTGTTGCTGTTATTGTTAGTCATTGTTATTATTGTTATTGTTGCTATTATTACTGTTATTAATTTTATTATTATTATTATTATCAATATAATTACTTTTGTTATTGATGTTATTATTACTATTATTGCTATCATTACTATTAGTACTATTAATACTATTATTACTATTATTGCTATCATTACTATTAGTACTATTATTACTATCATCATCATTATTATTATTATTATTATTATTATTATTATTGTTATTATTATTATTATTATTATTATTATTATTATTATTATTATTATTATTATTATTATTATTATTATTATTATTATTATTATTATTATTATTATTATTATTATTATTATTATTATTATTATTATTATCATCATCATTATTTATTCAATATTATCATTATTATTATCATTATTTATTATTATCATTATTATTATCATTATTATTATCATTATTATCATTATTATTATTATTATTATCATTATTATTATCATTATTATTTATTATCATTATTATTATCATTATTATCATTATTATCATTATTATTATCATTATTATTATTATTATCATTATTATTATATTATTATCATTATTATTATCATTATTATTATCATTATTATTATTATTATTATCATTATTATTATCATTATTATTATCATTATTATTATCATTATTATTATCATTATTATTATCATTATTGTTATCATTATTGTTATCATTATTGTTATCATTATTATCATTATTGTTATCATTATTATCATTATTGTTATCATTATCATCATCATTATTATCATCATTATTATCATCATTATTATAATTATATTATATTATAATATTATTATTATTATAATTATTATAATTATTATTTATTATTATTATAATTATAATTATATTATAATTATATAATTATTATTATAATTATTATTATAATTATTATATATTATTATTATAATTATTATTATAATTATATTATATTATTATTATAATTATTATTATTATATTATAATTATTATTATAATTATTATTATTATTATTATAATTATTATTATAATTATTTAATTATATTATAATTATTAAATTATTATAATTATTATATTATTATATTATTATAATTATTATAATTATTATAATTATTATATTATTACTACTATACTACTACTACTTTATTATTATTATTATTATTATTATTATTATTATTATTATTATTATTATTATTATTATTATTATTATTATTATTATTATTATTATTATTATTATTATCATCAACATTAACATGTTGGATTGGATCTGGCTAATGTGGAAGATTTCATTATGGAAGAAATTTGGTTACTATGTCCATGCTCAGGAACCAATTCCAGCTTGCTCTTAATGGCTAGGGTATTATTTGTAATGGAAAATTGAAATATGTGAAAATATATAGAATAACATTAAAGCACATTGTACCTTATTGATACTATTATTGCACAGATTTTAAACTACCTGGAGAGATAATATGGAGTCTGCTCAATGTAAATGGTCTATTATCATGTTGATAACTAATATAGATCTCTAAAAGTGTGTCTATAGCAACAAGGGCTTGCAGCATTGCAAAGAGGAAGCAAATAGTGTTAATACTGTTTGTGGGCTAGGCCTACATGCCACACACGAGAGTGTGTTTTTAACACTTGGATTTTGGTCCATTTGCACACTGGGAGGCACCTGGATCCAACTGGTGAAGTCTGAAATTATCAAGAACTATGAAAAGAAATTACTGAACCACTAGTCGGATAAAAGATAATGATTGATAAAAAACAAATGGCAGTCATCCACCTTTGATTGAAACTTTGTTTATAAGCATTTCACAACAATCCCAGAAATCATACCAAGATACTCTTACTACTTCACAAAAAGGAAGAGGTTTGGTGTCTGCTATAAGTAAACACAAGTCTAGGCCTGCAATCCTAAAAATTCCAAAGTTAATTGAAGCCAGTAAAAGTGCGAACAGCTTCTGTCCTCTTTCACTTATCTAAGGGCCTAAGGACACATTAAAAAAACAAAGGGACCAAAATCGTGTTCAGATCAGTGGATCTTCAAAAAAATGTTAAATCTGATTTGTTAATAATCTTCAGATGAGTAAGTTTCATCCATCACTATGCCATGTTCACATGAAAAGAAAAATGTATGTCATGAAAGCGTAGAAAGAAGTAAAGTGATGACATAGTGAATTTCAAACAATTTGATAAAAAAAAAAAAAAAAAAAAAAAAATGTGTTATCCCCTCACTTTACAAGAAAGAATAAAAGATTTGGATGAAATCAGATGTCAAAATAATAAATTTTGTGGGAAAAGGATCACATTTTGGAAGTATATTTTACCAAGTATATTATTTTACCTCATATTGTGCAGTTTTGCCTAGTTGGTTTTAGACTAAATTTATATATAAATATTGAGGATAAGCTGAACTGGAAGGCAATACATTGCACGTGTTTGTCATAGGGATCTTTGGTGGGCAGGGGCCTATGTTGTAGCATTCACAAGTTCACATTGCGGCAGCCTTCACTCTGTACAGCTTTTCATGGCAACAGCCCAGAAAGAAATTCTTTTGATTCCCAATAGGGGCCATAGAAAGTATATTGGAGATGGGTAAACCAATGAAACTTGAGGATTTTTTCTCTGTGATTTTACTTTCCACTAGTGTCTCATATCAACACTTTCTTTTGATGCAATTTACAGAAATTTGCATATTGTGTAGATAGCATAAACATTGCCGGGTGTCCTGCCAGTATGTCGATGGATCGGAGCCCCGTGCGTCAATTTTGAAACCGCCCAGAAACTATCAATTTTGGCTTCAAAATATGCTGGCGCTAGTGGGTTAAAAAAGTACTTTCCCAAAAGGAAAATGTCGTGAGGATCCAATGTTAGTAGGACAAAAGGTTCATCAGTGAATGAAGACCTAACTTTGTTTTTGCTTTTCCAGGTGTTTGAGGCATGGCTGACCCAATGTTTGTTGCCCAGCGTACTTCCTCCAACCAGCTTTCTCTCCATATTAGTGATGTCAGTAAGTATTCGTAATCCTACTTTTGTTCCCCAATTTCCTAGATGAAGAATTTATATAGCGATAAATCCTTTATTGTATTGATTAAATGTTTCAGATGCATCTTGTTTGTTAGGGAATATTTTTATGAAATAAGACTAAATTGCTGTATTTGACTTAATTTTTTGGAACATTAAAATTCTGCTTTATGATACAGCTGTTGTTAAATGAACATGGGAGGTTGTATTAGAATTGTAATTTTACCTAGGGAAGGCTAGGAAGAAATAGCCTATGGAGTCTTACACAGATGTAGTAATATGATATATATATAGCCTTAGTTGTAGAACACTTTGGTGCAAGAGTGTGACAAGGTATGTGTTAGTAGTTACAGAAACAAGCATACTCTCAAGTAGAAGTATTTGGAGGAAATATTGCCAATTGTACAATTTTTTTGTTTAACTGATTAGCTTAGATATCTATCCCATAAGATTAGTGTTGGAATTGATCTTTTGGATGCGTAAAGATATTTTGATCATTGGAATTACTGTTGCATATGAGTTTGGTGAGGTGAAGTGGGCCAATTCAAATGAAGTTGCATTCATATTACATTTTTAAGTTTTTAAAATGATTTTTCTTAGCAATATTTTGTAAAGCTGTCTTAACTCACTACTGCAAGGGATGGGATATGCATACATTGTTAATTGTCTTTACATGTATGTGACTCCACAAGTGCTTAGTTATCAAGGAGTAAATTGATAATTTTAACTATCACACTTGTTTATCCTTTTTCATGACTCATAAATTTTCTCTTTAATTTTGTATTACTATTAGTAATGCTAAACAATAATTTTAAGAAGACATTGTCAAAGAAAAGGGACTTCATGATTTAAATATGATGGATTAGTAGCATAACAGTGTGTCAGAAACTAACTAAACATTAGAAAAGGAAACAGTAGTTATCATGCATGATAAAACATGATTACTGTGTTTACCATTTCATACTAAAAGTTTATGTGACAGGCTTGAAAGAAATATTTACAAAATAATTAAAGAGAACCTTTAATCATCAGTTGGTGTGACTAATTTTGTTGGCCGCTTTCCCTTTACAATTCTGGTCAGTTGTTTTCCTTCATCCTTGAATTTCTGTAGGAAAAGGAGTAATGGAAAGTTAACAAAATGAAAACTAATGAGTCTGCTTCATATCTACATTTGTGTTTGTTTAGTGTGAAGGAGGAAACCTTCCATGCTGTAGCGTAAATGATTGGTACAGGGTACATTCAGTGTCCACTTTAGTTTTGCTTTGTCGTAGATGACTTCAAAACCAAGTCTTCAAAGAATCAATTAACTAGGCCTACCTGACCTTACCTGTATATCCCATTCCTTAATTTTTTATTGAAATTGTTTTTATTTCTAATTCAGCTGCAATTGTTAATGATGTGTTAGTTATACTCCAATACTCCATTAATAATGTAATAAGTATGAAAATAAAAACATTCAAGAAATGGGTAAAAATGGTGAGATCAGGTAAACCAAGTAATTTATCCAAATGGCTGGTTTGTTAAAATTATGCCAGGTCCGACCTGATTGACATTTGTTACGCGGACTTGCACATACACAGAAATAAATGCATATCTATCTGTTTAGACATGCATATCTATAGACAAATAAATGTATATTTATTTGATAGATCGATAGATATGTATCTCTGCATATGTGGATGTCTGTTTATACGAATATTCTTTGGGTTGGGCCTGGCACGATTTTAACAAACCGGCCATTAGTGACTAAGTACTTGTTGCGCCACTTAAGAAAAATTGATCTCCTAGAATTGCAAACCCTCCAGCTTTTCTGACCCTGCAGCCACAAAAGAGACATGATTTTTTGTTTTACAAAGACATTTTGGTTTCAGCCATTTAAAGAGCTCAAGTTTGCACTCCAGAAAATGTGTATTTCATTGTTAAATCTCAAATACGATTGTTAGAGAGCAAAGTTTAAAAAAGATACCAACATCTACTCGTGCTTGTGAATGAAAATTAACCGTAGATTACTGTGCATATATTATTAAAACACATATAATATTTTATCATATGGAATTATAGAAAGTATTTATCAGTGTTGGGTGTAAATATTTACTGGCAATTGATTATAGTATGAAATTTCTCATTAATTGATTATAATCTGTAATTGGTTACCAAATGATTATTCCGTGTCAGGGCTTAACTGTGGATCATTTCAATATATTTCAGACTAACACAACCCACCATTACACTTTTGTTTACTCTTCAAGTTAGTGTCAAATATTTCTTGTACGAATGCTTGGGTATGAAGTGATTATTCTTTTCAGGTGCATATTTACTGACCTCGCTCCTTCGCACCCATTATCACCTAAGTGTTTGGGTGGTGATGGGGAAGGAGGATGGAGGCAAACATCAATGTTCGTCGCTTCAATACACACACACACACACACACACACACACACACACACACACACACACACACACACACACACACACACACACACACACACACACACACACACACACACACACACACACACACACACACACACACACACACACACACATGCACACAAGCATGCACACACGCACACACACATACATGGAGAGTGAGTTATAGAGGTAGAGAGATATAGATAGAAAGATAGAGATATGGATAGAGAGAGATAGAAGTGGAGAGACTGAGAGACAGAGATGGAGAGATATAGATAGATAAAGAGATAGAGAAGATACATAGAGAGATATAGATAGAGATAGAGAAATAGAGCAAGATGGAGATAGAGATAGAGCGAGTTAGTGATAGAGATAGAGTGAGATAGAGATAGAAGGAGAATGAGATAGAGAAAGATAGAGATAGAAAGTGATAACTTGAGATAGAGAGACATAGATAAATAAAAATATATAGAGAGAGATAGATATAGATAGATATTCAGATATAGATATAAAGATAGCTATAGATAAAAATAGAAGAGAGGGAGAGAGAGAGGGATAGAGACTACACTAAAATCATAAATTTATCTTATACATAAGTTCATACCCTACAGCAGTGGTCGGCAACCTTTTGAACATAGTGTGCCAGTTGATAATTAATGCCTTCTTATAACCTTGTGTGCCAGTTTTTTTCAGCATTGTATACCCAGATGTATTTTCCTACACATGCATAAAACAAATGTAATATTGTTGTTGCATTTATTATTCTTTGTAACAAAAAATAGATATGTTTTAAAATTTTAGATTTATACTCATATTATCTTGTTGGTTAACTTTTTCTTTGTTCCTCTGAATCACATGGCGTGCCATAGACAAGCGCTCTGTGTACCAAGTCTGGCACTTGTGCCATAGGTTGCCGACCCTTGCCCTACAGTATTTATTTCCAGGTGAAAGTAATAGAAAGGTAATCAGTAACTAATTGATTACTGATCACTAAAGTAATCAAAGTAATCGACTCCCCCCCCAAAAAAAGCGTTGCCCATCACTAGTATACAGATGTAATTATGAGTGTCTAGATGCGTAAATAGTAGAGAGATGATGATATATAAGGCGTTAATCCACTGGCTGCGGATGGCATCATATGATGCACCGTGCAATTGACAGCTGATCCCCTTCGAGCAGCAGGCGGCCGTGCTGCATGGGAGCTGAGTGGGCCAGGGAATATCAGCCGCCATTCCCCTTGCGGCCTTACAGGGCCCGGGCCCACCACCCCCGGGCCCGCGTGTGCGATGGGCTGTTTATCGCCAAATGAGTTGTTCTCCTATTGCGCGTGCTAAAACCACGCCCGCCACTCTTTCTGAGCTCATTTACATATGTTTGCATGTTTGCATGTATTTGCAAGGGTTTTTGCAAATTTTTGCAGATTTTTGCATACTTATTTTTTCTGAGATATAAGTAAACAAAATATTTGCGCGAAAGAGGGAAGGCAGCACCACTGCGCGCGCACACAGTCCAGTGCGGTCCCATGCGCCACCCGAGTTGAAAATAATTAAAATTAGGGGATTACGCGCCATATTGCATAATACCGCGACCAATGGGTTAACAATGATATATAATAGTATGGTGTGTGGAGAGAATGTGGGTAGAGGAAAAGAAGTAGGGTTTGACTAGATAAAAATATATTATACAACACTAGAATTAGTACTTTCACTCTTGATTTTTTACATCAAAAGAAGATCGAAGCAGGAAAGTGTGACAGAAGGTTTTCAAGGGGAGTGGGGGTTTGGGAGTGGTATTGTAGGTGTGGCTTTGTGAATACTACACAATGTCTCTTTCATAGTGAAAAAAGATGCAGTAATTTATCCCACCAGTTTTAGATAAGCCTTCCATGATTGTAGTGAATAGGTTGAAGTGTACATTGTGATTAGGCATGATCATGGCAAATGGGACCATATGACAGGCATTGGCATACATGTCCTCCCAGTATCTAAGGGTAATCAAGTTTAACTAAAGCTTTATATCGTTGATTGATGCATTTATAATATACTCATTCTTATATTAAAAGTCAAATTCATTGTATTTCTGCTAACTTGGATTTTAATTTCAGTTGATATTATTGGCCAAGATGACCCTGATTATGCAGCATCGGCCATTTCTGTGTATGGAGGGGTACAGATGGGAGGAGGAGGAGGAGGAGGAGGGGCTGCAAGTGAAGCAAACTTTTCTACCATTTCTTCTGCCAGTAGACCTGACCCCGATCTGGAGAGCAAACGTAAAGCCTATGTAAGTGTTTGTTGTGTCATTGAGGGTCAAGTATAGCATTTCTTTTATATTGATGTATATGCAGAAATAGTTAAAATAGAGGTTGATTTGATGATAATTAGAAATACAATATTGAAACCTGATAGACAAATGTATTGAATTTTGATTTACTTTTTAATGTTTTAGGTACGTATTATAGAACAGCCCCAGGCTAAGGCCCTTCGTTTTCGTTATATTTGTGAAGGACGTTCAGCTGGATCAATACCAGGAGTTCGAAGTACAACTGAAAATAAAACTTACCCAGCTATTCAGGTGTGTGATACTCTCCTTTTTTTATTAGAAATGTGTTTTAATATTTAGAATTAACAATTTTATATAGAAAGCTATGATAGAAGTAAATTTCTTTGCAGACTGGGTGTGTAGTAAACATCTTGGTTTGAGATTTTTAAAAATTTATTATGAAAGCAGGGAAAAACAATTTCACGTAGAAGATTTATATACAAGTTTTTTTGTGTAGAAAAAGAAAACAAGGAATATACATTTAATAAGACTTCTTTCTTCAATCCTGTTTATTGAGTCTATTATTTGTTGTTTTTGTTATCAGGTGGTAGGATACAAAGGACCTGCTGTGGTGGTGGTGTCCTGTGTCACTGTTGACCCACCTTACCGACCCCACCCACACAACTTGGTGGGGAAGGAAGGATGCAAAAAAGGCGTGTGTACAATGACCATTAACAATGACTCCATGCAGTGTGTCTTTAGCAACTTGGGAATCCAATGTGTCAAAAAACGTGATGTTGAAGATGCCCTCAAGTTACGAGAGGAGATTAGAGTGGACCCTTTCCAGAGTGAGTTGGGAGCATTTATTATTAAATTCTTATTATGTTGGTTTGTATTTTCTTGTATATCAGATATTTAATGTATTTGATATGAATTTAGAAAGGTTTCAAAACAAGCTTGAATAAAATCTTAGTATAAAGTCTAGATGCATAGAATCATTCTATGAAATCTGGTAAAAGCAGTTGTCTGGTTTGATTATGATTCCATTACTTTGTTTTGCAGCCGGGTTTTCTCATCGTAACCAGCCACAGAGTATTGATCTTAATGCTCTGAGATTGTGTTTTCAAGTATTCCTCGAGGGATCAGAAAAGGGGAAATTTACTTTCCCGTTAAAACCACAGGTTTCAGATCCAATTTATGACAAAAGTAAGTTCCATATGATTTTAATTGATATGTATGTTTTGTTGGATCTCCTGTCTATTCAACTGCTTGTCTATTAATGTGTTTAGTCTCTTTTGTTTTTCTTTCTTTGGCCTTTTGCATAGTAGTTAGGTTACTGGTTGTATAAGCTATAACCTTTATTGATCCATCCAATTAACCACTAGTCCCTCCTTGTTTTGTCTCATTCATAATTTCTTCCTATCTTCCCATTCCTTTCAGTTTTCATATCTTCTCTTTCTTTTATTTCAATGTTTCTCTTTTGCCATCCTATCCATGTCTCCTTTCTCTCATCTTTCTTCAGTTTTCCTTTAGGCTTGCTATCCTGGCACATCCATTTCTCAAATAATTTCTTGATTCATATAATTATTCTTTATGTCAAAACAGACATATATATCAAGATGTTTATGTCTTATATATTTCATGTAAATAAAGATTTAGTTGGGAAAAAACAACTGGAAAAATAAACCAGTATAAAGATATGTAAAGTTTATTTCTGATTCAATAAATGACCTGAATTTTCTCTGACAGAGGCCACATCAGATCTGATTATCTGCAAGCTCAGTGACTGCACAAGCAGTGTGGCTGGTGGCAAAGAGATTATTCTCCTCTGTGATAAAGTAACTAAAGGTAAGTAATCATAATGGATTTCATTAGTTATTGCTGTGTAGAAATATAAAATATTTTTTTATTATATCCTTTTTTTGTACTATTTTGTTTCATTCTGAAGATTATTTATTTGGAGGACTACTTTCATAATTGATGAGTCCTCACATGTTCATATAAAATCATATATGAAAGGAGACTTGAAAATAGTAGATGATAAGTAAATAACCATATTTTATTTTTGGAAAAAAAAACTCTCCCTAATTTTTCTCTGGGTAGTTATATGTTTAAAACTAAGAATAAAGAAACTAGGAATTGTTTCAGAATTTGAAAGTTGTCTTGGCTGTATTTCCCTATTATCATTTGGAGGTTTTGAACATTCTTTGTTACAAAACATTAAACCTAATGAGAAATTCCATCCACCAGAGGACATTCATGTCCGTTTCTATGAGGTCAAAGATGGAATGATAGAATGGGAAGCCTTCGGTGATTTCCAAGCTTCTGATGTCCACAAGCAAGTGGCCATTTCGTTTAAAACTCCCAGATATAAAACTCTTGAGGTAAATATTATCTGAGTTGTCTTTGGTATAAACGTAAAAAAGAATGATTTTGAAAGGTCAACTTTAAAGATATAATTTGAAGTTGGCATGATGGATGAATGGTAACTATGTAAAAACCCTAGTTTGGTACCAGTAAGGTAATCCATGGTGAAGACATCTCTTCAGAGAACCATGTGTATATCTCTTGTAGGTTTCCTTCAATCCATTCAGATTTTAAAGTAGAGTTATTTTCTGATATTAAAGTAAGTGTAATATTGTGGTTCACTTGGAATTTATTTGTGAGTAAATGCTAGTAATTCCTTTCATATGAAAGGAAAGTATGATGGTAAAGTAGTATTTTGATTGCATGTTTATGTAAGTTTTATTTATGTAGCTAAAACACTATTTGTATCTTATTCTGCATTTGTAGATAGAGAACCCCATAAAGGTGTACGTGCAGCTGTTGCGACCATCAGACAAGAGTACCAGTGAGCCACGGCCATTCCAGTATTTGCCTCTAGACTCAGGTAGGCCTTTCACATCATTTAAGAGGCTAAAGAACAATTATGGGTTATTCCAACGTATTCTTGGCCTGGACTCACCTTTGGCAGCTTCTACAACAATAGAAGACAGTCTTCGTCACAAGACACCTCAGTCTCCCAGATCAGGTTTTCTTGACAGTATTACACTGGAGGAAACAAAACCAACACCACCAGCATATGCCAAAGTACCTTCACCTCCTGCAGCACAACCACAGCCCCGTCCACCCCCTTCAGCCTCACCCCCGCCACTGGCTCAGCCGAAGACTCCTACTCCCCCATCACTCTCTCCTCCAATGGCAGGAGCTTTCCCATCACCAGGACAGAGTATTGATGACATCAAGCAGAGACTCACAGCTACCCTAGACAGGAGGAGAGCAGGTGCTACATCACCCAAAGCAAATGTTGCCCAGCCTAGACCCTCACCCTTCTGGTCAGATGATGCTAGTGTGTATTCAGATCCAGACATGTTGGATGATGTCCTCAGTCAGGGTAGTGTGAATGACCTCCTATCTGCAGTAGGGGATGGTTTTGCAGTTTATGAAGACATAACAGGCATATCTGATTCTGCAAACAACAATCCGCTGAGTGGAGATGCGGTTTATGGAGATGCATCTTATGCATCGTGCTATTCAAATCTCGAGTTTGTGATGGGTCAGGCTAGAACTGCAGCCACTCCAGGAACAACCACGGGAGGAAGTAATAAAGTAGAAGAAACACCTCCATCTTTACCCCCTAAGAAAAATCCAAGAGGTTCTACTATACAACCAGATGATGACTTTGGAGAGTATGGTACACCCTCCAGTCAACCCATACACCCAAATAAAGCTGCTTTGTTATTAGAAAGAGGTTTCCGTCTGGGTAATATCACCAGTGTGAATAATACAAATCAGAGTTCTGCTGGTAATCATAGCGTAGATAATGCTTTATATTATGATCCAGGTGGGAGCCTTCAAGCGCCTCTAGGATCAGCTTCAGAATGTGATGAACTAGATGACATGTGGGATGAAACGTCAAATCAGCCTCAGGAACGCACTTGTGAACAGTTGCCACGCACCGTCCTTGATTTATTTGTATAATGTGACGTTTTTCCCATGGGCTAAGGGCACCTATTTAAGGCACTGGAAAAAGTTAAAGAAGAAGAAGAGATGAGAAAAATTTGAGGAGTATACCAGAAAAGATTAATTTAACTTTTTTAAATGTACAAAATTGGGTGTATTTCATATTTCTATTACTGTCTTTTATGGTTGTTTTTCTTTAAACTTGTCTTAAAAACATGTTATTAGGTGTTTGATAAGAATGCTGTGCAAGATTTCCAGAAATAAGAGAAATTCCCTCTCTGAGCTGTAATTGCTCTTGCATTGTGCACTTTTATCATGCCAGTGCATTTTCTTTTAGGCTTCAGTCCTGATAATTCCTATTCCTATTGATGAGTGACATAGCTTTTTGGCAACAGCTTTCATTCAGCCTTTCGTCAGATAGTATGACCTTTGATCACTTCATTTAAGAATCTCATACTCATATTTAGAAGCAGATTAGGCTCTGGGAGGTTCATTTATGGCTTCAGAAAGATTCCACTCTGGGGTCTCTACCAATGTGGCTGAATTTCAAGTCTCTTTCCATAGTGTTCCTATGAAATGATACTGTACTGTTTATATCATGAAACATTCATTGCTGAAGTTTGTGCTCATTTTCATCTCAAATGATTAACTATCATACGTATTTCATTCACACACCTTGTCAAAAATAAATAATATACTGGGGCTGAGTGCAGTTTATGCCTTTTTTTTAGTTCAGCAGATGTCACTGAACATTTGTAGGATATCAGTAGTAGGTGTTTTGATGTTTGCTTAATATTTTATGTTGTTGAAAAAGAATTTCAGATGTCTCTTATTTTGTTTTGATTTTGATTTGTCTAAAGGATAAATGAGGAATGTGTGTAAAACAGATTACATATGATAGTTTTGTTTTGATTTTATGACAACCATTTAGTTTGTCTCTTAAATTCTTGCTTTGATTAACATTATATTTTCACATGCATTAACTGCTACAGAATTCTAGTCAGGGTTGATCAGGTTGTGGTGAATACTTAAAATAAAAATAAGCAGAGATTAATGTGAAGAATTGTCAATGCATTCTAGATCAGTATAATTGCAAACATTTTAACAAGAAAACAGTTGAAAATTGATGTCCTGTGTGACAATTTATCAAAATATAGGTACTAAGGAAATGTTTGTCTCTAGTCCTTGAAAATAGAGGAAGATGGAATAAGAGAAAAGCAATATATTTATTTTGTAAAGATAGTGAAACACAAGTGATCCAGTATATTTTATTTAATAATTGAATGTTAAAAGAAAGTCTGTTTCATCAGTGTGGTGAAATATGTTTGTAAGTCATAAAAAAAAAAAAAAAACAGAGAAAAAAAATCAGGATACAAAACTAATCATTACTTAGTATTCCTGTTTTTGTTTCTCAGAAAGGAGATATTGTAAGAATCCTCAAATGATATTCTCATTGTATAGGTAGAATAGGAGGGACTTGTTCAAATTCCTTTTTAGTTGACATAATCTTATTACTAATATTTCTTTTGGGGTAGCAAAAAGTTTCCATGTTGTGAGAGATGTGGTGTACAAATAGAGGAAAAAAGTAACTCACCATAAAGGGTTCCTAGGAGATCTGTCCTTCCTTTTAAATTATGATTCAGGTGAGATATTTAGGTGCTTTATATAGTAATCTAGTCATTGAATTTGCTTGTCATAATGTGTGACAGATGTTTAACAACTGGTAACATATTATCAGGGGATCCAGCATCTCCACAGATCAGGCAAGGTGGGAGGAAGTTGTTATATATTAATTGAATATCTTTGTGTGATGGAATTAGGTGCTCAAATACAGAGACATACAACTCTAAAGAGTTGAAAGTGCAATTTCATTTGTGGTTGATATTTTAGCAGCCATATTTCAAACTGTTTGTTAAGCTGCTGGGATGATTATGACAGGAATTTGAAGAGCAGTTAACAGAGGCCTTTTAAAGACTGCATAAATAATTGGCTGCATAAACTGTTCAAGTCAGAACTCTTGTTTGCTGTTTTACAATGTATTTAAAAATTCATTTAACCCACTTCAACTACTTTTCACTGTAGTTTTATTCTGTGAAATGTCTCTGCACATAGATGGCTCCACAAGTGCTCAGCCACCAAGTTTAGTAGATCACGTGACCATACCTGACTTCCCATTTCCTAGAGCTTTTGGGATTTTTTATCTATTAATGCTATTAGTATTCATTAACATAACTAACATCCATAAAAGATAAAGAAAATATTGTCATTGTAGAGCCATCTATGTGTAAAGACAGTTGATAAATCAAACTCACAATGGACATGGTATGTACGTACATGCCATCCGTTTTGGCATTGGGTTAAGATTAGAAAGTCTGTCTTAATTGATAAGCTCCATGGATTAAGTAAGAAGACAGTATTGAACAATTTACTTTATATACTTTCTTTATTAAAAGAGGGAATATTTGAAATTTGGTATATGTTGATCATATTTATATATTTGTGGATTTTACATCCCTATAAAAATGCTGTTTAGAAAATTGTAATATAAAAAAAATCAATGCTAGCCTTTGTTTTTCAAGTATAAGATATTTGATCTACCCTCACCATCATTGCAGCTCTATCAGTATCAACATACATTAGTTAGACTTCAACCAGAAGTGGGGCAAGAGTTTTGACAAGCACTGTACAATAATTTGGAATGGCTGTGTTTGTATGTGTGTGTATGTGTCTATACCTCAGCATGTTTGATAGCTGACTCGGTCCTTTTTTAGGAGCTAGTATCATTGAAAATCATCAATTCTCTGTATTTTTTATGTACAAGCTTTTGAGTGTATGCAATTGAAATTTATTACGAAAAGGATAGGAATAAGTTTGTTGGAGAAAGGTCTCTAAGTTGATATGTTTTAGAGTATAGGAGTAGGTAATATAATGCAGATTTTGTTTGTATGTTACAGACTTTTAAGATTCTTTATTTAATGAATTTTATCTACCAAGATAGTACAAGTGTGGCCACAATCACCCCCCCTCCAACAGAAAATGAGTGCACAGGATTGGTTTTCTGGTTGGTGCTTTTTAGTATTGAAATTCAGTTGCTGGTGGAAATGTGTCATTTATTTGTCTCTTGGAAAGGTTGAAAATATATATGATAGGGGAACTAGTCATAGTGTAGTGTGGAATCTTGTATTTGGTATTTTCTTTTTTTCATAGAACAATATACTTACAAAACAAAAAATCTAAAGGTACTGTAGGATGTGTTCACAATGATTATGTAGAACTGCCTCCCAAGCCGGACTTGGTCTGTGGGTACCACATCTTCATGATGTCCTTACCAAGATGAGTTGTTCTTGTCCAGTGATGTGAGGTCCAAGAAGTATAAAATGTGTGTTATATTATGCTTACATTTGTTAGTGGATGAAGATTTAAAGAGTTTTATTAGTTCAAGATGGTAATGTACTTTTTGACTTAAGCTGTTTCATTGCATGATTTATCAATTTTATATTAATGTCCTGAGCATCTCATAAAAGAAAACAGGTTATTTTAGAATTTACAGTTCAATAGAGACTATGAAAGGCCTATCCTTGTATATATGTCTCTGTAAGTGTGTAGTGAGTGTGCTCATCTAGTTATTGTATGTCTGTGTTGACTTTTTTCCCTTTGATTTTTGTAAAGGTACAAAATTATGAAAACTGGAATTCAGACTTTTCTTGATCTGAGACTATTTAGCTATATTAGTGCACCACTGTTTTCTAGCTCTTATTGTAAGCAAACAAGCAATTACATATTCATTTGACAAATGGAATAAATGGAGGGGAATCAGTCACAAGGTTATTTGAGATATACATAATGACTACAGTGATTTTTGTCAACATATGCCTCACTTACATTCAAAATTACTTAAATCACATATGAAAGAACATAATGTTTGCTCCTTTCTGAACACACATGGTCCTTTATTTTTAATGGTTGTTATAATTTGATAACTGAAAATTACTTTTAATGTTAGTTGATTAAGTTATTAAGTACTTATATTATAGTTTTGTCCAGTTATGAATTTGCTCATTCACTCACTTGTGTACTCACTGAAGCACACTTATTTGTACAATGTTTATTATTTTAGGGTCATCCCCCCCCTACACACACACACACACACACACACACACACACACACACACACACACACACACACACACACACACACACACACACACACACACACACACACACACACACACACACACACACACACACACACACACACATTCATGTTCATATTTGTCTTCACTCATAGATTCACACATGCACGTGTAAGTGTACAGGCACAGGCACACTTTCACAAAGATGTATATTTGTGAAAAAATGCACTATGAGTAAGAGAAGAATGGGATAGAAGTGATAATAGGTATAACTAAAATCTTGTGAAATTGCTAAAGCATTGGATAATTTTTACTCCATAAAGGAAAAAGAATAGTAGATAGTTTATTGGGGTAACAATTGCCCATCTTTTGATTTTAAAGAACTATCTTTTTCCAAACTTTATTTTCACTAGATTTATTGTAAATGGTATCTTACTTTCTCTTGTTTTCAAAAACTAATTTAACTTTTTTTGTTTGGAGCCAGGTTGCACAGTTAACAATACATAGACATGTTTGATGACTCATATTCATTTTATTGGTGCTTAATTTGACGTAGACAGAAGCAAACACACAAGAAACAGTGTCCATATCATGGAAGTACATGTGGTTGTGGTAAATGGTTCAGTGTTTTGATTGCTCTGCACTCATTGTTTTCATGATTTTTATGTACAATATATAGATGTACTTTGAGGAATGGCATAATATGATGGTGATAAAAGTCTGATATATTGTATAGTAATGATCCTAATAATAGTCTGGACAAAGGGAAAAGCTCTGAAGAAGGAATAACTAACAGATAGATTATTCTTGGAAAGTGTACAGGGTTAGTCAGGAACAAGTAAAGGTATAAGTATGAAAGATTAAGAGTTGAGTTGTTGAAAATGTCTGAGTTTGCAATGTTGTATAATCACACATAGTGCACATATTAACATGTAGGTAGTTGATTAAGAGGTGCAATTTTATGATTCATTCTTAGGAATATCTGAGTTTGCCCCTACTTTTGCCTAGAATATTGTATTCTTTTGACTGTCTTCTGTATGTATTTAAAAAAAAAATAGTGAAAAGGAAAACAGTTTTTTAATAGCTAGATACATCCAAATCAGCAGAGAAACAAATGTTGTATTATTATCTTTGAGTTTAATGCAAAAGAAGAGTCAGGTTTTAGACATTTAAGACCTAAATTTATACCTCATGTTGGTGTTTATTTAATGTTACCATAAATGACAGGTCATTAATTTCTGCTTTTAAACACTTTTTAGTACTATTTCTTGTCAGGAAATTGCTTTCAGGAACATCAAGAAATCTGCCTTATTATTGAGTGATTATGTCTGTTGTTGACTCTATTAGTGGGGAAAGAATTATTTTATTTACAGAATAAAGTAGGGTTGAATTTAGCATGCTGTAGGTATTGTGGGCATTAAATGTTTTTATTCTGATGTATATAAGTAATCATGGACCAAATCACCCCAATGTGATAGATCCAGTTAATTGAATTATACAGAGTAGCATGCTTGTCTTTTTTTCTTGTTTATTTTTTCATACTGCAGGATAATAGATAGCATAATGTGTGAATTACTGCAGTGTTCAGCAGACTTTACTGTAAACATTGTTTCAAACATTTTGTTACATATGTTTATATTCATGGGTGTCACCTGTATCAGGCTCCAAACCCAGCTGATGGTCAGGGTACTTGTCTGCATTGGCAGGGTATAATGGCTGGCCTATTTACATCAGTTGTGCTTACAGTTAGAATGTTTTAGAGAATGTAGAGGTTTTTGAAACTAATAATTTTGTATGATTTATTATACCTGACATTAAGAATATATAGCATTTTGTAACAGGATTTAATTACCTTTAAGAAAATTTGTTTTTGAGTAAAACATGAAAGTTTACATATAGATGGTGCTTCATGCTTGTTACACATGCACCGAGTTATACATTATTCCGGCAGTCAAAGCTGGGTTCAAGTTAGCTATGTTAAAAGCATATCACATACCCAGGAAGCTGAAATATCTGATTTACCTTGTTATTTCTATATTGTAATGATAAAAATATTGTTATTCTTCTTAAAACTTAATAAGGGATATGCTGTGGTGTCATTTCTGTTTTTATGATGAATTTGCTCAGGCATTTACTTAAATTATTTATAGGGAACTGTAGATGTTTAGCCATTACCCAGATCTTGCTACTTAAATAAAAATGCAATGAATGAAAGCTTTATTAAAAGGAGCTTGTATTATCACAAAAATTGTTTGTATGTATGAATCATTATTAGGAAATAAAATGTGATAAAAATGGCAACATGTGTTTCATACCTCTGTGCAGTTTAGCATGTTTTTAAAATTATTTGTTGTATTTTTTAGAATTACCCATTTATGCATGCTTTAGCTAATGCAGTTTGTATTATTTAGTTGTGTTTAGAATTCCTGTATTTTACTTCTGTTTTTGTTTTTTTTCCAGCATTTGATGTGACTTACTTTGATACTTATATATTACCTTTTCTTTACCATTGCAAGTTTTGAAGGAGGTAACAAAATGTTTATAAATTTTGTTGCCTCATTATTATGTTTGCTGTTGCTATTGCTGTTTCTTATGCAAACACCCTTCTTATCTAAGTTGTATATTGTATTTTGAAATCATACTTAGGTTGAATGTAAATAAAATTGATTGTCCTGCACTTCGTAGCAGAAGAAACAGTAATAGTTTTTATTTTTTGTTTCCTACTTTTTGTATATAGGAGAATTTCAGGTACTGTTATTGATTATTTTTGTACTTTAACAAGTAGAGGCAGTATGTTTATTAGATATGTATTTTTTCAGAATGATTTTGGTTTTGCGTATTTGCATTTGTATTTTAAGAAATACATATTTTTTTTCTAAATGTTCTGCATGATATCTTTTTAATTATCCATTTAGTTGTTTTTTATGTGCATGAAACATTTTAAAGATGATTTACACATCTCATTTCCATTTTGTGTATATTTGCATGGTTTGGTTTTTACAAGCATGCCTGTTTTGTTTTATTCTAGATCCGCAGTACCTAAAGAGAAAAATGGCCAAACTTGGCAACAGTGCAAATACAGAGAAGATTAGTCGTTACCTTGCAGAAAACATGGCTGGCACGGGTAAGTTTTGGATATTTTCTGATATGTGATGTGATTGTGTGTGTACCAGGAAGTGTGACTGCTAACTGTTTAAATGAACTGTGTTCTTGAACACAGAATGCGATATGGGAACAAAAGTCTGCATTATTTAATGGAATTAGTGAGAGGGATGTTGTATATGTGAAATATTTTTTGGTGTCTCAGATTTAAAAGCGGCATTTTTTGTGGGAACATTTCATATTTGTGGAATTAGAAATAAGATTATGTTTTAGCACCAGTAGCATTTTTTACATTTTGGTATATACTTGTGCTCACAGTGTTCCGATTCATAAAGCATTTAATCAGATAATGATTTTATATTCAGATTTTAGTAGTAAAAAGTTTATATTAAGTTTAGGCAAAATAGTTAAATGCATTTTGTAGTTCTTGTCATTATTTAGTTTAATGAAAATCTTATTGCTAATTGATAAATTATAATTAATGATGATTTCAAGAATTATAATTAGAGGGCAGATTGCATGTACTGTTAGCCTGTTCAGTTTCATTTCCACTGCACAGACTCACCTTTGGTCCCTGACTCTAGTATAGTTGGTCAGGCTCTCATATTAGGCCAGTGCTGCCAGGGATTGCATGAATGTACACATCGTACCCACTTTGAGTTTACTTTTTGATTGTCTTTACATGTAAATGTCTCCACAAGTGCTAAGTTGCCAAGGAATCAATTACTGGAAATATCTTTCTCACCTGATTACTATTCTCCTTGAGTTTTGGAAGTATGCTGTTTTATCTTGTATTATTTATTAGTAATTTCAGTAGCATGATAAGTATAAAATCTATGATGATAATGACAGCATTGATATTAATAGCATTGGTAAAAAAAGAAAGAGAAAAAAAAAAAAAACTGAAGGAAAGGGGAAATCTGTTGAGATCATGAGGTTTACAAAGTGACTTTTGGTGGCCGAGCGTTTGTGGAACCATCTATGTGTAGAGACATTTAACAAAAGAAAACTTCTGTGAACATTATATTTTCCTGGCAGCAATGGATTAGTTACTTCCCTAAGGCAAGTCATGTCCGGGCTAGCATCAAAATCATCAACACCATGAAGCACAATACCTTGTATGTTTTACCATTATTTTAAAGGTATTAGTTCAGAAAGAAAGGAAACATGGATGTCTAATGATTATGTGTTTCAAGCATGGAGAAGTAGAAGCAGAGGTAGAAAAAAATGCTGTGATTCATAGTCTGATTAATTTGTTTGATAAGCCTATGCATAGTTCTATAACTGCAAAGGCAATCATACATTAGAATCTCATTTCCCACATCAAAACTGAGCAGAGTATTGGTTCAAGAACACTATGTCTGACTCTTATAGTCCCCTTTGTGATTATGACCAAAATGTTCCAGAGTTTGATCGAGCTCATGATATTGCGGTTGCAATTGTTAACTACCTTAGTTATTAGTCATTTTGATTTTAACATTACACCCATCATATGTCAAGATCTACAATTTATTTGATAGTAACACAGATACAAAACATACTTGCAAGACGTTCCTTTTTCAAGAATGTTTTACTCTTCTTGGCATGGCCTTCATCATTCATATAGTACTCCAGTGTTTTCCAAACTTGTATCCTCTTTTTACATCCTTCTGCTATTATATATCCCCCAAGGCTGATCAAATGTGACTATATTTGGAAAGACAATGCAAATTACATTATTGTTTGAGTGCATGTGTGCATACAGGTGCATTTGTATGTATGTGTTATTTTCTGTTTGTGTTTCATCTTCTCGGGTACCCTTTTCATTTGCTGTGGACCCCAGTTTTGACAACACCAGTTTTTCATTTGCTGTGGACCCCAGTTTGGACAACACTGGTGTAGATGACACTTGCACTCTTACCTTTTGTCATATCTTTTAATTATTGAATGTTGCTCAAAATCTTTGCTTCCACTGTTTAGCATGTACATAGTAAATCTGATTGGGTGAGAGTGTGAATAAAGAGTATAGAGTGAAAAATGTATGAAAGACATGGCCATAGTATGTAACATCTGCTTTAGTAATACTCTCATATATTATAGTTAAAAGCCTAGAGAAAATGAATGATGATAATGAAAAGTACAAAAAATAATCCTTACCAATAACATTGTAAGCAGGAAATATGAGGAAATTTAAGATAATATTTTAAAGAGAAAAGCTGAAAAACTGAAAAACTTGTCTTTGGGTACTTATGAACACTCAAATAATTTATAGATTTTGTGTGCACTGTGGTTAAATTAGAGTGAATATTTTCATTTCCAAAAATCCCAAACATGCTTTCAAAGAAATTAATGAAGAGAAAAAGATCACTCATATCAATTAAATCTCTGGCTTGATGCATTCACTCTGAATAAACACCAGTACCCATATCTTGAAAATGCCATATCTTCAGTATACGGGGACCGAGGTGCAGCAGGCCAGGGGCAGGTCTCTGGGGCTGTTCCACGACCCATCAGAGTAGCCTCGCGCTCCTCAAGACTTTCGGATAAGATAAAAATGGAGCCTCCAGGTGAGAAAAACTTCCTTAGGGACTTTATTAGCCTCTTTCTTTTTGTTTTTCCATTTGCTCTCCTATTAGAGCAGTCTGGTTTTAGGTGGAATTATGGTGAGCACTTTCGGGGATACACCACAGTAAGCTCCTTTGCAAGATTAACATGCTTCCACTAAACTTAGCTTGCCTTATCTTTTACTATTTTTAGCACCAAACTTTTATTTTCTCTTTTCAAGTGGAGGTCCACTTTTCTAATATAGTTTATTATTCTGAAAAGTCCCTGAAAATCATATATAAGTACCCTAAACAAAGACAGTTCCATATACCACTAGTATAAGAAGGAGATAGTTCTGTATTGATTGTGTCTGAGTCCATATGCTGACTGGCAAGTTTCCAAGCTGCATGTGGTCAAATCTGCTTAATGCCATGAAAACTTACATCCTTGTTTGGCCCAGTACAGCCACCCAAAGTAGGCACAATGTCTTTTATTAGTTTCTTTTATTGAAAAATCATTTATGCCACAGCCAGAGTTACTGATGGTGAGGAAAGCACATATTCCTTTTCTTTTAGTTTTTCAGTTGGGTGGCTGACAGTGTATGGTGCCTGATGTGAGGCTCAAGGCTGCTGTGGCTAAAAGGTTTTGCTTATTACTTTGGACTAAATTTGCTATATCTGTTGATGATGATATCCAAATCATTGGATACTAACAGGTTTCTAAAATGAGGCTTTGTTTATGTTGAAATGAATGAGATGTAAAAAAAATAATGATAATAATAAAAAGAAAATTGCTTTGCTTTGATGTGCAAAGAAGCTTACCATGGCATATCTGAAAAGAAGTCTCTAGAATTATATACTCTGGCTAGGAACTTTGATAAAATAGATAATTTGTGTAGTTTGGCATAGTCTGAGTATAAATTTCCCTTTACCCCAATGGCCGTGGATTGCATGCACTGTAATTTTAGTTTATGAATCATGTTAAAGACAGAGCTGTTTCCACAAATTCTTAATCACCAAGGAGTCAGCAGTCCTATTTTTCTTACCATTATACCCTTTTCCTTGAGTTTTGGAAAGGTGAGGTTTCAGGTTTACTTCTAACGATGGCAGGGTGGTCCAGTAGAAAGAATCTTTTTGGTCTTGCTTTTATTCACTGGTCACAGGTCACAAACAAGAAAATGCACTAGTCAGGGCAGCATGACATAAATACTCACTGAGGTATCTCACAGCCTCACATGACCTGTCTTAACCTCTCTCTATATAGCATGCTCTTGAGTCAGGGTGAGTCACAAATTTCAGACTTGATTGAGAGCATCAGCTGCCTGTCTTAGTTACCACAGATAAGTGGAGGATTTAGAACACCTACAGGACTGACGTGTGTTGACCTTCTGAGGTCACTGGCTACAGGTGCAACAAAATTGACAAAAATCTACAGTGGACACTACATGTACCTGTGGTCAATGATTTTCAGTATTATTAAACCAAGGTCATATCTGTGGATCTAATACTATATTTTATCATATGATTCTTAAAGGAAAAATAAAGTCCTTCCTGTGGAATGTTCACTGACTGATCAATGTTTTATGGTTGTATGCAATGTACATATAACTAAAAATATGGAAATCACCAGTTTCTTGTGGCAGAGCCATGCTAACACCACCTATAGTTTGACAAGCC